AGCGTAAAATGATTGTTTGGATTGCCTACCAAGATTCTTCAAAGGCCCTTGTGCATCTCTCTGGTGGATCACCGGGCTGTGAACCCGCAGCAGTGAAGCAGAATTACTAGATGCAAAGCCTCAAACCCCAAGCATCATCAACTTTGATGCCTTCCCGACCATGGCCACTACCATGACTAGACATTGAATAGCTTTGTGTGTCACTCGTGCGGGGGCATGTGCAGCTACAGCAAATCAAAGGCCGGAAGTGTGAGGTCAAGCAGTACCTGCCAGAGAAGCTGGAGAAGTTCAGGGTTCTTGGCTTGCACAAATAAATACAGTACCATGAGAAAGGAAATGGCGATGAGCTGTCTTAGCAAGAAATCCTTTCCTGTCATGCTCTCTACACCTTAAACCCTGAACCCGTCATCAGTACACGGCTACACACCCAAACCATTACATCCTGAATTTACGCACGCTTGGAGGGGGGTGTAATGAGACTTGACAGGGACTAGTGACTAGTATAGGGTTCCCTGCACGATTCCAAACTATGCATGACTACTCTGAGGCAACAAGCTTCCATAGCCATCCCGCTCAGGCCTGAATCAAACAGGTCTTCTAACTCAACTCGATACCTTCAACCAGAAGCTGTGAATCTGCCACACTGCCTTGAGCTGGTCTGCAATGACGGCCAAAAAGTAGCCTAGGATCACACCATAATGTAGAGGCCGTGGGTAATTAGTACCGGGTTTTGAGCAATTATATAGGAATATCAGGGGATGCTATTGGTAGTTATTCAGGCTTCATTCGACGTGTCTGGAAGCAAACATGTTTGGAGTATGAAGCATTTAGTTGATGTAGTCTGCAACGGATTCTCCAGGATGCGCGTGGTAATTTCTGGCCCTGGCTGATGCAAGATCCTGTTTCTCGCATAAATGCATGATTGCATCCGACGTTTGTTTATTACCAATACAGGGGTCACCCATACGCACCTGTGCCTCAACTTCTAGGCAGAAACCGTTCACGCTCACCAGGGCGGATCATGGAATGAACGCCATTTGATGGAAAGCACAACGCATCTACCATCAGTCGAGCATGCAAATGTAGTGTGCGAGTCGAACCGGTCATCCACATGCTTCAGGGTTTGGGGGTCTAGGTGTCAGCAAACATTGGGACCAACTGCCCTCGAACCAAACAACTTCGGCCGGAAAAAGGGGCTTTTATGACCACCAGCCAGCGAGCAAAGGGCATATGAAAAGCCCTTTTTGAAACAAAGCCTGCAAACCCAAATCCCCGAACTTTCTGCGCGCTGAGCAGCCGTAATAAAGCGAGGCAAACTCTTCAAACTGGGCAGAACCTTTGGATTGCCTGGAGACTGCAAGCAAATCATGCTTTGCCGGTGAAAAAACTCAGGTATCCAGCAAACACCGAAATCTGAGTTGTTTGGCTGGCATACTGCTGGCGTGTAGGAACGTACGCTACGCAATCATTTCCATGGGAATGAGACAGAACAGGTTTCCAGACTTTGCAGCTTTCTACATCCACGCATGCAAGATGTCTGATTAGATGTAAGAGAGAGCATCTTCTCAAAACACGACGTACCAGTGAACCTCTCATGGGTCAGCCCCCAGCAGCTAGGCCCATCGCCAATAGTCCAGCACCCATCTGACATCTTTGGTCTCATTTCGATCGAGGTCTCCAAAGAGTCCTGACCTCAGCATGGCTACTAGCACTAGACCGGAGCTTCGGCAAGCACAAGGCGCTGTCCCAAAACAAGAGCCCTTCCAGTTTACGTGCTCAAGGCTACGGTTCAGTTGAATTTACTGCCCAGTGGTACTAACCTCTATCGATGCAATCAACCCTCCGCCCCGTTCCGTTATTCCCTGCTTTCACCATAACGTAAATATGTAATTATTGTAATGTAGCAGTTTCCATTCTCCCTATATTACCCTATATACTTCCTTGGAAACCCTCATCTCCCAAGTTAGCATCTCGAAGCTAGGATCCATGAGCTCACAGAAACTCAGCGGGACCACTCGTTTCGAGATGCCTTATACACCTCACAACTTGTGCCCTGTGAGGCCTATGAGGCCCTTTTAGCTGCAACGCCTGGCCCAGAACTGGGGCTATATATGGTTAGGGCTTAGGGTTAATTATTGGAGGAGAATTGTATGTGTACACCTCTCTGTGAGTACGCCCCCTAGGGTAAGCCGAAATTTGTCGAACCCACAAAAGGTTAGCCGCAGGTAGCCGAACCCCAGGGGGTTCACCGAACCCCAAACTGGGTTCTGCGAACGGGTTCTACTAACACCCAGAAGGGTTCTACAAACCCCGCGGCGGTTCCGCGAACCCCGCGAACGTTCCGCGAACCCCCGGCAGCGTTCCGCGAACGCTGGTGGTAGGGCTCTGAGGTGAACCCCCAGTGATGTGTACACGTATATAGGAATATATAGGATTGCAAAAGGTTATATAGGGCTATATAGGATTATATAAGGATAATGGCAAACAAAATGGAAGCTACTATTCAGGGTTTAGGGCTTAGGGTTTAGGCTGGTCTGCTCCCACCAGTTAACAGTCTGTAGTAGGGGTGACATTAAGGGCTCTATATATATATATATACATACATATACATACAGTTAGATTATGAAACTTATGGGCTGGTAGTATCCAAAGGATACGGAAGCTCCTTAACTTTGCCCATGCATCATGCCTTATGAAAGGGACCCCCGGACTTTTACTTGTAATCTACTCATTTTTGAGAAGCTCAGACCCGTAACCCCTCAACCCCAAACCATTTCATACCCCTGTACTATTTTTATAGAATAATCCGTAATCCTTAAATATCTCCATATTGACTCTTCAGACCCCGCTTCAGAGTACCTAGAATCCTCCTTTTTGAGGAGCCCTAAACCTGAATCACTCAACCCTGATCCCGACTTACTATAATCCTTTATAAAATAGATTCCTAGGGGGACCCCCCGATAGGACAGACCCCTATGCAGGACACGTGGGAGGTACTTGAAAACGAACCTGGAGATTGCTTGGAGGTCTGTCCTATCTGGGAAACCCTTGGCGATCTGCCTAACTCCTAAAACATTAGTGACCCTCGACCCGAACAGCCCTAAACCTTAACCGTCAAACCTGAACCCTCGAACCCTAAAACCTTAAACTCTAGAACCCTTAAACCTTAATCCTAAAACCCTAAAACCTTAAACTCTAAAACGCCCAAACCCTCAAACCCTGAAAAGATACCTTAGAGTCCCCCCCTTGTCTTGGAAAGCCCTTTGATCGAGGAAGCTGCTCTCCCGGAAGCTTGGCCGCTTCGTCCTCGGCGATGGCAGACTAGGGATTTAAGGCTACATAGGGATTATAGTATATTGGGGTTATATAGGGATAACGGAAAAGAAAATGGAAACTACTATAATGGGGTTCAGGGTTTAGGAATTGCGGTTTAAGGCTTAGGGTTAGACTAGGGGTTTCATATAAGTACCAATTGGGGTAGTATTAGGGATATATTGGGATAATGGAAAAGAAAACGGAAACTAGTAGGGGTTCAAGGTTTAGGGCCTAAGGTTCAGGGTTCAGGGGTTCAAGTTTTGGGGTTGAGGGTTTCTCAAGGCGTGGTGTAGGGCTTAAGGTGTATGAGAAAACTGTTTGATAGGGTTCGGGGTGTTTCAGCAACGGACACTGTGGCGGCCCCAGTGTTGCGTACGCTCTGAATTCCAAGCATTTTTGTTGCATTAATAGTATTTCCTTTAAGCCTAGTAAAGTTTAGAGGGTTGAAGGATTAAGGCGCTAGACAGAGCTATAAGGAGGGGTACATTGTGATATAGAACCACAAAAACGGAATCAAATGGACACCAACATGGGCACGACTGTGCAGGCTTGAAGGTTTAGGGTTATACAGGGGCTTCGCGGTCTGGGTTATGGGTTAGGACTCAAAATACGAAGGATTTGGGTATGCATATCTACTGACAAATGCACATGAGCTAGAGTCTCAACTCCTTAAAGGGGGCTTAGGACTACTATAGGGGCCTTATGCTAAATGATGAGGGCCTGCATAATTTCGAGCGGGGCTCTCCAATATCTTGCGGGGCTTAGCGCCCATCCTGCATGTAAGAGCAGCAGGTAAAACCATTAAACAAACAAGATGGACGCACCATGTAGGATGGTCCGCTATCGTTTTACCGGCTTCTGTCGTTGAGGTTTGCCTGTCGTTTTTGCTTGGTTCCCTATCGTTCTACATGCTTCTGTCCCAAGACATGTCAAGCGTAGACTGAATTACAAGAGCAATAGACTACAACTGCAATCTATTTCCTCCCATACTTGTAACCATGCTGATGGAAGCAGCAGCTGTAAGAATATAATTAGGAGGAAATAGCTTTGAACCGGCCGTTGTCGCTGTCTACTTGTTGGTGCGGTAGCAGGAGCTATGCTACTCGTTGCAGCGTCTCTTTTTGACTTTGGCTCGACCGCCCTTGTGGGGTCCAGAACACTATGTACTGGGTAGTGCCCCCACCCAGAAGTAGTAGTAATAAACAATGACCATGAATATGCAATAGCCAGATTTTTCCACCGAGATCTACCCTACTAAAGACTGTTAGGTCGGCTGGGGCACTACCCAAACTTGATACCACTTACTGGCTCTCAGCAGGGAATAAGGGAACACATCGTACAAGGGTTATATAGGGATTACATTCCCTTTTTCCCTGTTAAGAACCAGTAAGACAGTCACGTCAGCAGATGCCAGCTTCATCTCCATGTTGACTCGACGGTGCCGGGCGTCCATGCATCTTAAAACAAACTTCGAATTAAGCAGAACCCCTTCTCCTAAGTGCCCTTACAGTATGCAAGACAAGCCCAAATATGCTGAGCAAAGCTTTCGGGGTACTTCATGTGAGCTACAGTTTAAAGTTTAAGCTCTAAACTCCAGACTCCTAGGATCCCCCTTCATATTCCCTATTATTCGGACCGCTATATAATATCCTCTATAAAGCCCGTTTAGGAATTTAGACTGTAGCTCATGCCTTCGAACTGCCACATTTTGGGCAGAAGGCTCCTCTGCCTTGATCGCTACAGCCGCAGGTCTCCGGGCAAGCCCACGAAGCGGAGCGAACCTTCATCGGGGCATTGTCGCCACTGAAGGTTGAATCTTTCTCCGGGTGGCACACGAAATCTTCTAGGCCCTCTATGAAGCTGCAGTCAGCGATTGCGAGCATACTAAACAGCTCCTGCATCTCCTCTCTGTCAGTTGCATTTGTTGCAAGAGACTCCATCATTCTACCCCAGTCTTGCCAGAACCGTCGCCAGGGCTCTGAACGATTGTCATCTGGGTTGTACATGGAATAGTCGAGACAAGAAGCATTTTCTTGACTCGCCTTGAAGGCCATCTCATTCTGGCACCTCTGTTTGCATCCGGTATCAATCAGAATTCCGCTGTCTACCACTGTGCAACCGCACGTTTCTGGGCAAACCATGCGAACCAGTGGAAAGCTTCTGTTGTCGCAGAAGGGTTGGGCTTCCCTACAGTTTGTGGCGCCGGTCATGGCTGTCACCGTAGACCATTCCCACTCCGACTGCGACGGACGTCGGTCTTCACAAGAGATGCTGAAGATCACATCGTTGTCAGCAGCATTTATTGCATCAAGCTTGGTATATGCCGTGAAGATCTGTGTGACCTGCTTAGGCACGACCTGAGCCACCACCTTTCGATCTCCCACCTCCAGGCGCCAAGTCACAACATCTGCAAGATCTCGGCGATCGTAGTTGAGAACCACATCTTCGATCATTTGGCGAATGCCAGGTAGCCAATTCGCTTCGCGTAGGTCGAAAGGCTTGGTATCCATGACCATGATGGGCCCCATTTGTGGATGGGAGGAGTACACGAAATCCAGGTTGCCACCACACAGGCTGTCAAACGCGGCTTTGGCCTGAATTGCCTGGGTTGCTGTTAAGGATCTTACTTTAAGTTACCATAGTGGGTGTGTGTGTATATATATGCATATTAAGTAAAATTGTTACCCCAATATAGCGACTTAAATTATTAAGCCCCTTAACAGCAACCCAGTAGCATTTTGGCAAACTGTGCACTGGATGAAGATGGCCGTGACTACAACGAGCAGAAGAAGTCTCATCATACTCCACACATCAACACCCGCCCATGTTTTGCCTTGGTCATCAAATGGTGCAACAAAAAAACGTCAAATCCTGGATGGTTTGCGTACTAGTGAGACATGAGCTATAGTCTAAACTCCTAGTATCCCCCTTAAAATCCCTATAACACTCCCCTATATAATCCCCCATATAAGCCCCTCCAAGGAGTTTAGACTATGATGCACCTGTAAATCTAGGTGCGTTGGCCAAGCTGAAGAGTGCGAACCGAGGAGAGATACTTCATGGTATGCTTTGATGCCAGGACCTTGTACAAGAGCTCATCGATCTCCAGGATGAAAAGCAGGGCCACAGCGTTGAGCATGATGTCGGTGATATCCCGGGTATATGCAAGCCAAAGGCCTCCAGTAATTCCCAGCATGACAGCTATCGCCAAACGTGCCAGAACCGTCCAGAACACCATGATGCGGCGTAGGCAACTGACACTCTCAAAGACACGGTCCTCCTGGCTGACCGCGGTAATAACCGTGTTACCGCTAGGAAGCTGGAAGATGGACCATGCAAATCTGCCTGCATCTTGTAGCTCGGCAGCGATGTAACAGGCCCAGATTGCTAGCGCAATGCTAGATAGGACCACTCCGACACTCAAATCGGGAAAAGTGCCTGGAAATACTGGAAGAAGGTAGGCATCGACCTCATCCAGCAGCGCACTGTGCCACCACTCTCGCTCAAAGAGGGCTCCACCACAGATCTTTGACACCCTTGAGGCGCCAGAGGAGGAATCCAAGCTATGACCATACAGCAAGCGCCAATCCCTCAAATGATTGACGTCATACTTGGCATCATGGCCCAAGAACGATGTAAAGACGATCCAGACGAAGAGAAGCTGGAGGCCGAAGCTTGCCAAAACACCAAAGGCGATGACGGCAGTTCCAGCCGGGCCGATCTCATCCAGCCCTGCTACCAGCAAAGCGTCCCAGAACGACTCTTGAAGTTCGTGCTCCGATTCTGTTGCGATGACCGATCTGGCTGTAAGCTTCCTTGAATTCCTTGTGCCAAAAAAGACCGATTTGGCAGTGTTTCTCCTTGTGCGAAACTGCTCCGTCTCTTCGCTGGCACCTTGAAACATCCCAGCTTCGAGCCGCTGGGCATCACTTGCGTCCACCATCTCTGCTGTCGGATCCGGCGATGCACTCACAACCACTTGCTCCTGCTGGATCCCCGTGGTCTCAAGGCTAGCGACACGGTCGCTCAGCATTCGAAGTTCCTGAAGGATGCCCGGCGTCTCGAATTTCACAATTCGATCGCTGAGCAAGCGGAGCTCTTCCTGCAAGCCATCGATGCGCCGGAGTAGCTCGGCAGATTCGCCGGCCATTTCGCACTTGCCACAGGCTTGAGGCACAGCCTTATGTGCCAAAACTGCCTAATTACTTTGAGCCGTGACCCTTGCAACAACTGCAGCTTCTGAAGGGCAACGTCAGACACTACGCCTCATGACTAATGACAGGTCAGAAGCTCCAAGGCCCTCTGTTCCTAAAGAGAACCCTGACTCACAATCCGAAAGCCGCTCAGCTAGCGGCCACCAAGTCTATTGGCACATCCTGCAGCGAGACTGTATGGAGGCAGGGGCTGCCAATATCTGAGAGATTCGGAAGAAGACTTGCCCATGCAACTTTCAGAAGCACATGACACAATGCATTCGTAGGGGGCTTCCCAACACATGGGAAGACCTAAGGACCCACAGTATAGGGGTTATATGGGGGTTATATAGGGGTTATATTGGGGTTATATAGTGGTTATATTGGGATAATGGAAAAGAAAATGGAAACTACAGGGATTATAGGGGTTATATGGGGTTATATAGGGGTTATATAAAGCACTCTCTTGCAGTCCTGGAGCCCTGTGCAGGCATGCACGACCACACAGTCCACCACTGCGGCCAGAAACCGGGCAGCCTGGCGAACTTTCCTCTTGATCAGGGCACCTCTGATAGGGGCCGCTTCATGTACATAGTAGGGTTCCCTATATCTCTTGGAGGACCTTTACGACATAATATATTGAGAAATCAGCATACTACCGGAAAGCAAGGTCGGTGCTGGTGCACCTGTGCGCAGAATCAGGGCAGTCACTCCAGTTTTCAGAATCATCGTTTGGGCGGCTGTACATGGGCGCTTCCAAGCACTGATGGGTCCCAACTGTACCGATGAACACATTCGGTTTCGGGTTTAGTTTGTTTAGGTGGGTTTATGGGGACCCCATCCTTGGAAATACCCACATCGCATGAGATCTAGATCAAATAGCTGCGGCAGCCAATCGACTTACATTCTCCTAAACCCTAAACCCTAAACCCTAAGAGTGACTTGCTTTGAGAGGCTGCCACGTTGATCGAAGCCAAGGCCTTCTTGTCGAAGACGGGTGTTCGAGCTAAGAAACGGATCCTTCCACCCCCCGCAATTCTTTTCTTATAAAAAAACGTGCGTATGAATCTGCATGAATATGTGCGTATATATACATACATACATATCTACAGAGAGAGAGAGAGAGAGAGAGAGAGAAAGAGAGAGAGAGAGAGATATATATATATATATTCCCCATGCACCCCTCCTCTTGGAACGCAGGTTAACTCTGCCATTCCCGTAAATCCTGGCCTCCAAAGCCTAGATCCTGAATCTACACCCAAAAATTTCAAGACCCAAAAATGTCGAGGCCTAAGCCCCAAATCTCAGATGATAGTTTCCATGAGTCGTATATAGTATATAGACCCCAAACTACTTTGATCCTCATTAACCCCCTCCCGTCACAATTAAACCCCCCCAACATTAGATACTCCGTTTGTGGTAAAATTGTCTGTGTGGGGGATGTCTAGTATTCGGGTGGTGGGGGCGTTGTTAGGGGGGAATGAATTACAGGTGCCACCCAAAATGGTACCACCGGCACTGGGAAACCTCCAAATCAATAGCCCCCAAGCCAAGCTGAGCCCCAAGCCCACTCCAACTCGAAGTCCTAAACCCGCAACCCCTAAATTCTAAGCCACAAACCTCCTAAACCCTATGATCTATGCCCTAAACCCTAAATCCTAAAACCCTAAAACCCTAAACCCTAAACCCTAAACTACTGAACCTCAAGCACCAGTAAGCCACTCGCCAGCTCAGAGATCCCAGGGGAAATCCTTGCAGCCTGTGAAGAAGGAAAGGCTTCCTGTCAGCGCAGATTAGGGTTTAGGGTTAGGGCTCAGGGTTTAGGGTTTAGAGTTTAGGGCTTAGGGTTTAGGGTTAGGGCTTAGGGTTTGGTGCTTACATGGATCCTAAAGGGGTTATGTAAACTCATATACATATAGAAGCATATACTCGGATCATCTAAAGAATATGTAGGGGCTATGTAAACTTTTCCTCATATAAGGATTAGATAGAGCTGATATGGGGATTGTATAAGGTATATATTCAACAAATTTAGGGCTTAGGCATTTGCTCTTGGGTCGAGGGCTTGCCATGGTCTGTTCGGGCTCCCTAGGAATTTCCTTGAGGTCTAGGGTTTAAGGCAGTATAGGGGCTATATAGGGATTATGGATCCTGGCACTTAGGTTTTTCGCTTCCTAAACCCTACGCCCCTAAACCTTGGACCCTAAACTCTAAACCCTAAACCCTACACCCATAAACCCTGGACCCTAAACTCGGAACCCTAAACCCTACACCCCAAACCCTTAACCTGCGAAGAGTGCTAAAAGCAACAGGAACGCAGGGGCTCAACTAGCTCTGAAAAGGTCCCTAATCCCGTTGGGTTTTGGTTTTAGGGCTGTTGGTTATTCGTGGAGGGGATTACAGTGTGCGCAAGGCAGGACTGGACATGAGCATGTGGAGGATATCACGCCAACGCCTTGCTGAGTCCACAGGTTGTCAGGGATGGTAAAGATCTTGTGTGTACAGGAAGACAAGACAAGTAAATGCTGAAATCATCACCAGCGTTCAGGCGTCGCGTCCTGCTTCAAAACACGAAGCAGGAAGCACAAGTGGGACTTGTTTGGCTTAGGGGAATTCTGGAGGGCTGCAAAACTTCTCAACCTGCAGATTCTTCTGCCAGGGCAGCGACCATAAATGGGAACTCTTTATTCAAGTTTCTACATTCTGCCAGAGCGTTCGGTAGTTGATCCAAATTCCCGTTCCACAACCATGGCCATTATGAAGTATCATTTCCCAAATACTTTTCTGTATGGTCTTACAGGAAGTCCAGATAATTTCCCCGAAGGACCGTAAGATGAACCCCCATTTGTCAAAGTTACAGCCGCCTTTGTTGAGCCGCCGTGTACTGCCCTTTGTCATATTTGAAGAAAAAAGGGGACTTAGTGAGTTTGCTAAGAACTTGTAATCCAAGAACTTATAACCGCTACAAACCAGATAGTGGAACGTATGGGTCCTTCAGGATACCTCATTCTTGGGAAAGCCCGTTCTCAAATGATCAAGACCAGGGTCGAATCCGCGATCCTCCGAATGTCTTCAGCGCCTGTGCTGCCTTCAAACTCCAGACTGCATCTGATTAGGGTTTGAGCTTAGGGTATAGCCTGCACGACAAGGAAGAAACACTTTCCTTCCTTACTGGTGGTTAGTATGGAATGAGGAGCATGATCGCTATATAATGCCTATACACTACCATAGGTTTGGAGATTCCTCCTCACAGTTTGAGAAATTCGGCAGGACTTTCAACTTAACAAGGCGTCGGCAGTCTCCACTTTCATATGTCCATTCCCTTTTCAATTGAATTCTCCATGTTAGGGGCTCTGACATCGTAACCCTAAACCCTCAACCTGAAACCGAATAATAAACATAATACTTTTACTAATTCCTTAGGGTTATACTATAGCTAAAGTTAAACATAATTCCTAAGGAGACTATAGTCCCCTAAGGTAGATATGGGATATATGGGGATCTTATCATAATATACCCAAAGCCATATTTTTATCTACCCAAGGGGGACTATAATTCCTAAGGAGACTACAATGTTACTACTCGTCACTCCTAGTCCGAGTACAACTGCCTTGCTGTCAAGGCATCCAGCCAGCTTGTCAAGGGCTGCTTTGGTGCCATCCTGGAGCAGCTCAAAGATGTGGGCCCTACTAAGGGACAATAGTACCTAAACAGAGGGTGCAGGATTATGTACGCAGACAATTTCTATGGATATATACGCACTATGTATATATGTATTCCAAAATTGGGTCCGACCTTGCGCCCTTTCACTTTTGTCCCCAACAGGCAGCTGCACGAAAACTGATTGAGCAACGACCCGTCCTCGTCCCGGCTCTCCGCGCCCAATGCGGCTGCCAAGGCACGCTCACCATCCTCTGTGTCCTACAGGTGCCAGGCTCAACTAACCCCACCATGGTGTCTCTCTTCTCTCCGCAACCGAGAAAAAGTGCTGCGCTCCTCCCAGCCAGCACTCCGCTGTGCTACCGCCGCGGCCACTTGAGCAGCAGCAGCGCTCACGGACACTCCCGCGGCCTGCTGGGAGCTCAAGCATTGCACACGCGTTTTCGAGCCTGTTGGCTAACAGGAGGTAGCCGCTTCTAGCGACCACGCCTCAACCGTGCATGCTGCAAGGAAGTGCCGTGCGGCCAGAAGTGCCATCTTCCCGGGCACGCCTGAGTCGCCTGAGCAAGCAACAGTTCAGGGAGGTAAGAAGCACGCTAGAAGTCATGCCAAGCAGCCAGGCCCGACCAGCATGGCGATGCGCTCCGCCGCTGTCGACAGTGGTTCCCAGCTCAAAGACCCTGAGCTCCTCAGCTCAAACTTTTGAAGTGAGGGGCAGGGAAGTTTGCTGGAAAACGCGCGATGGGGCAATCTTGTCCTCGAAATCTGAGTGTGTGAAATCTTTGTTGGGTCCTGCTCCCACCCAAGAACAGTTTTGAAGAGGGGTCATACTAAGGACTCTATATATAGGTTTCATACCCATCGTTTGCCGCGCTTTGCGGCTAGAACGTGTAGGTTTCATTGCCCAGCGCAAGGGCTTTGCATGCCAGGTGGCGGAAGACAATCACCAAAAAATTGGGGAGTTTTGGATGTTTATGCAACCCTCTCAGC